GAGGTCTGGAGTTATCGCTCCCTCTCCTACAGCGAATGTATAATCAGCCCAAAACTCCGGCGACGGTGGACGGTGGCGTCGGAGGCGGCCGCACCCCAGCAGCAATCAATGACTCATGGCTCGATCTCCTAATTGCCTCTCCTGCCCGGCTTCGCGCCGATGATGCGTTTGACAAGGCTGGGGGTCGGAGACGTGCATTAGGCACTCAGCGGGCCCCCCCCACTGCCCCCCCCCGAGGGCGAGACTGCTTCCTTCTCCTGGGGGTGATCAGTCATTTCATCCACAGGGGAGTCAGGGGAGAGGGGCTGGGGGCAGGAGAGAGCCTGGATGCCTGGGCCCCGTTTGTAAACAGCATGGATTTCTGAGCTGGCCCGGAGCAGGGCTGCATTCATGGCTGGCGGGGAGGGGTCTGCCGGCCTCACCCTGTTGTGGAACTGTGGGTGGGGCTGGGGCACAGGGCCTCCTGCCAAAGGAGAGCTCCAGCTGCGGCCACCGTCATGTGTGCCCACTTGGAGGCAGAACGGGTGCCCAGAGCCTGCTGCAGCTGACAGGGCGCTGGTCCCCACGGACGCTCCGGCTTTGCCCTAGAGCCCCTGGCTCAGGTGGACCCGAAAGTGTGCTTTGCTGTTGTTGCTGTTTGAAATGGAACCTCGCTCTTGTCCCCCAGGCTGGAGTGCAGTGTCGCGACCTCGGTTCACCGCAACCTCCACCTCCCGGGTTCCGTGGATTCTCCTGCCTTAGCCTCCTGAGTAGCTGGGATTACAGGCGCCTGCCATTGTGCCCAGCTAATTTTTGTATTTTTTAATAGAGATGGGGTTTCACCATGTTGGCTGCCACGCTGGTCTTATACCCCTGACCTCAAGTGATCCGCCCGTCTCAGCCTCCCAAAGTGCTGGGATTACAGGCATAATTTTTGTATTTTTTAGTGGAGACGGGGTTTTGCCATGTTGGCCAAGCTGGTCTCGAACCCCTGACCTCAGGTGATCTGCCCTCCTCCACCTCCCACACTGTTGGAATCGCAGGTGTGAGCCACCGTGTCTGGCCTGTCCTCTATTCTTTTTTTTTTTTTTAATTTTTTTTTTTTTTGAGATGGAGTTTCGCTCTTGTTACCCAGGCTGGAGTGCAATGGCGTGATCTCGGCTCACCACAACCTCCGCCTCCTGGGTTCAGGCAATTCTCCTGCCTCAGCCTCCCGAGTAGCTGGGATTACAGGCACGCGCCACCATGCCCAGCTCATTTTTTGTATTTTTAGTAGAGACGGGGTTTCACCATGTTGACCAGGATGGTCTCGATCTCTTGACCTCGTGATCCACCCGCCTCTGCCTCCCAAAGTGCTGGGATTACAGGCGTGAGCCACCGCGCCCGGCCCTGTCCTCTATTCTTATTGCTGCATCCCGCTGCCCTGTCTGAACAGGCCTGGGACCCGCCATCTCCTTGGGTCAGGGTCAGCCCTCTCTGTCCACTTCTGGGCTCCTCTCGAGGTGGGTTGACCTTGGGTCACCCAGTGGTGTCACTTGGGTCACTGAGTGGGGCCCACCCATGGTGGCGCAGCGGGAACTGTTCTCAGCAAGACCTGCTCTCATCCCAGGTAGCTCAAGAGCTGCTGGGAACGTCCTCTGCTCGAGGTGGTAGGAGGCCTGGCGGCGCCTGAGGACCCTGGCTGGAGGGAGCCCTGGAGGTGCTGCGGGTTCACGCATCTGGGGACACTGGTAAAGCTTTGCACAGGCCTGGCAAGGAGGAAGCGGGCTCCTGACCCTGCCAGGCACTAGGCAGGTCCCCAAATAGCATCAGAGAAACCCGCTTCCCCAAAGGAATGCTGACGAAAGCCGTCATTTGCCTGGAGGTGAAAATGTAAATAGTTTCAAAATAGATTTGGGGCCAGCGTGGGCGATAGACACAGACAGCCATACACGTGTGCTGCCCGGGCTGGGGTGCAACGACACTGTTGCCCCTGGTTACAGAAAGCCACCCCCCACCCCCCAGCACAGGCTGGGGGCCGTCACCCAAACCCGGTCAGCAGCAGCTGCAGGAGGGAAGCAAGGAGACCCCTTTCCGGGGCCAGGGGTCCAGGTCGTGCTCAGAGATCACCAGCTCGGGGTCCCTGTGTCATTAGCGAGAGCCTCTCAGGTGCCCCCCAGGAGCCAGAGGGCTGACTGCCCCATGGCAGAGGAATGGCGGGCTGTGTGAAGCACTCTGTGGGAACTTTCCTTCTTCTTCCTTTTATTATTAATTAATTCATTTTATTTTTGAGATGGAGTCTTGTTCTGTCACCCAGGCTGGACTGCAGTGGCGCGATCTCAGCTCACTGCAACATCCGCTTCCCGGGTTCAAACGATTCTCCCACCTCAGCCTCTCGAGTAGCTGGGACTACAGGCACGCACCACCATGCCTGCTTGTTTTTTGTATTTTTAGTAGAGACGGGGTTTCGCCATCTTGGCCAGGCTGGTCTGGAACTCCTGACCTCAGGTGATCCACCCACCCCGGCCTCCCAAAGTGCTGGGATTGCAGGCGTGAGCCACTGCGCCTGACGCCCGACCTATTACGTGTTTTCATTTCTTTTTTTCTTTTTTACTTGATTTATTTTCTTATTCTTTTCGAGACAGGGTCTCTTGAGGTCAGGAGTTCAAAAGCAGCCTGACCAACATGGTGAAACCCTGTCTTAAAAAAAAAAAGAAAAAGAAAAAATAAAGAGACAGGGTCTCACTCTGCTGCCCAGGCTGGAGAGCAGTACCACAATCTTGGCTCACTGCAGCCTCAACCTCCCCAGCTCAAGGGATCCCTCCACCTCAGCCTTCTGAGTAGCTGGGAACCAGAGGCGTGCGCCACGCCCAGCTAATTTTTGTCTTTTTAGTAGAGACAGGATTTCGCCATGTTGGCCAGGCTGGTCTTGAATTATTAAAGTCAAGTGACCTGCCCACCTCAGCCTCCAAAGTGCTGGGATTACAGGCACGCACTACCATGCCTGGTTATTTTGACTTTACCTTAGAAATGGGTCTCACTGCACTGCCCAGGCTAGACTGAAACTCCTGCACTTGGCATTGCTTGGTGACTTACGCCCTCAACCTGAGCACTTTGGGAGGCAGAGGTGGAAAGATTACTTGAGGCCAGGAGTTCAAGGCCAGCCTGGGCAACATTGTGAGACACCCCCCACATCTCAATTTTTATTAAAAAGAAGAAAAAAAGGCCAGGCGCGGTGGCTCAAGCCTGTCATCCCAGCACTTTGGGAGGCCGAGGCGGGTGGATCACGAGGTCAAGAGATCGAGACCATCCTGGTCAACATGGTGAAACCCCGTCTCTACTAAAAATACAAAAAATTAGCTGGGCACGGTGGCGCGTGCCTGTAATCCCAGCTACTAGGGAGGCTGAGGCGGGAGAATTGCCTGAACCCAGGAGGCGGAGGTTGCGGTGAGCCGAGATTACGCCATTTCACTCCAGCCTGGGTAACAAGAGCGAAACTCCGTCTCAAAAAAAAAAGAAAAAAAGAAAAGCAATGTGGGGGTCGGGCATGCTGGCTCACGCCTGTAATCCCAGCATTGTGAGGCCGAGGTGGGCAGATCACTTCAGCCTGGGAGTTCGAGACCAGCCTGGCCAACATGGCGAAACCCTGTCTCTACTAAAAATACAACAATCGGCTGGGTGTGATGGCACACACCTGTAATCCCAGCTACTTGGGAGACTAAGGCAGGAGAATCTCTGGGAAATGAAGTTTCAGTGAGCCTAGATTGCAACACTGTGCTCCAGCCTAGGCGACAGGGTGAGACTCTGTCTCAAAAACATAAAAAAATAAAAAAGAAGGCTGGGAGTGGTGGCTCACGCCTGTGATCCCAGCACTTTGGGAGGCCGAGGCGGGTGGATCATGAGGTCAGGAGTTCAAGACCAGACTGGCCAACATGGTGGACCCCGTCTCTACTAAAAATATGCAAAAATTAGCTGGGCATGGTGGCTCGTGCCTGAAATCCCAGCTACTTGGGAGACTGAGGTAGGAGAATGGCTTGAACCAGGACCCGGGAGGTGGAGGTTGCGGTGAGCAGAGATTAGGCTACTGCACTCCAGCCTGGGCTAGAGAGCGAGACTCTATCTCAAAAATTTAAAAAGAAAAAAAAAAAAAAAGCAATTTGGAATCGGACAGATAAGCACTGTGGCCTGGTGCGGTGGCTGATGCCTGTAATCCCAGCACTTTGGGAGGCCAAGGCGGGCGGATCACCTGAGGTCAGCATCCCAAGGTGCTGGGATTATAGGTGTGAGCCACCATGCCTGGCCAGATTTCCCCTCTTTATAAAGAAAGCAGGCAGCCGGGCGCGGTAGCTCACGCCTGTAATCCTAGCACTTTGGGAGGCTGAGGTGGGTGGATCACCTGAGGTCAGGAGTTCAAGACCAGCCTGGCCATGATGGTAAAAACCTATCTTTAAAAAAGAGAGAAAAAAAGAAATAAAGAAACCAGGCATATTGGAACAGGGCGCGCTGCACTGCAGGAGGACCTCATGTTAACCGACTGCATCTGCAGAGACCCCATTTCCAGGGAAGGTCCTGGGGTTCCAACCGCAACCCGTGGCCGTTTGGCAGGGAACGTGGTTCCATCACAGCGCCTGACGCCCGCCACCTCTCTGTGGGTCTCGTACCTGCGGGGTGACTGGCACGTCACTCTCAGCCGCTGCCAAAGCTCTTCTTGAACTCGTCAAGGTCACCCTGGATTCTAATCCCAACCCCCAGGCGCTTCTTGGCTTCAGGAACATTTTCTGCAGGTGCGAAGGAGCCGGGAGCCGCGCTCAGAGGCTTCCTCGTAACAAGCCCCCTCCATCCCGGCAATGGCACCGTGCTGAGGACATGGGAGGGACTCCAGGTCCCCAGAGGGCCCCATTCTGCCTGGAGGTTCAGGATCGTTGCCTTTCATCTCCAAGAGGAGCCGGAGGAAGCGTCCAGTCTTAATGTCCTGTACCCTGGCTTTATTTATTTTTTTTTTTTTTTTTTTGAGACTGAGTCTTGCTCCGTTGCCACGCTGGAGTGCAATGGCTTGATCTTGGCTCACTGCAACCTCCGCCTCCCGGGTTCAAGCGATTTCCCTGCCTTGGCCTCCTGAGCAGCTGGGACTACAGGTGCACGCCACCATGCCCGGCTAGTTTTTCGTATTTTAGTAGAGACGGGGTTTCACCACGTTGGCCAGGATGGTCTCCGTCTCCTCATCTTGTGACTCACCCACCTCGGCCTCCCAAAGTGCTGGGATTACAGGTGGGAGCCACCGTGCCCAGCCAAGGTACGAGCATTAACTAGCACCTGGAGTAACTCAATACTAGAGCATCACATCCGGGAAGCTGACGTTGGTGTGACGCTCGGAGCTTGCTCAGGTCCCGCTGGTTTGCACGGGTGTTTGCACGTCCACACTGTTTTATCACATGTGCTGATACCTCCACCCTGCGACGCTGTGGCACGGCTCCCTCCAGCACCGTCAAGACCGCCCTTGCCTCAGGGCAGCCTTCCGAATGGGAAGAGACCCCGGATCCACAGGAGTGCTCAGGGAACCCGCAAAGGCGTGGCTGACGTCTGCACATCTGTGAACGAGGTGGAGGACAAATACCCCTTATGCTGTCACAAAGAAGCTGATGTGGCTGGGCGTGGTAGCTCACACCTGTCATCTCAGAACTTTGGGACGCCGAGGCGGGCGGATCACCTGAGGTCAGCAGGTCCAGACCAGCCTGACCGAGATGGAGAAACCCTGTAGCTACTAAAAATACAAAAATTAGCTGGGCATGGTGGCAGGCCCCTGTAATCCCAACTGCTCGGGAGGCTGGGGCAGGAGAATCGTTTGAATTTGGGAGGTGGAGTTTGCGGTGAGCCGACATCACATGCCACTGAACTCCGGGGTGGGCACCAAGAATGAAACTCTGTCTCAAGAAAAGAAGAAAGGAAGAAGAAGGGCCGGGCATGGCTCATGCTTGTAATCCAAGCACTTTGGAGGCCAAGGTGGGCGGATCATCTGAGGTCAGGAGTTCAAGACCAGCCTGACCAACATGGTGAAATCCCGTCTTTAAAAACAGGAAGAAAAAAAGAAGAAGAAGAGGAGGAGGAGAAGGAGAAGAAGGAGCTGATGTTTCTCAGGTTTCTTTCTTCTGTTTCCCTTGCTCCCCACAACCCCGATTCCGAACTAGGGCGCTGTTGAAGATACGTGTCAGAAGTCTAGGATTCTTATACAACAGAGAAAAAAAACAAGAGAGTCTTTACCGACATGCTTAGCTCTGCTGCCCCTGAAGAATAGATTCCTGCCTGGGAGTGGTGACTTCCTGGCAGCCCAGCCAGCCAGGCAGAGAGCACCGCCACTGGACTCCCTAAAAAGGGTGGAGAATCCTCCGCAAACATCGGACAGATCCGGCGGCCGGGGAGAGATGCCAGGGCCCGACAGCCCCTGCTGCACGTGGAGAAAACCGCCAGCAAGCGGCTCCTCCTCCTCCTGACGTCCTCCTCCGTCTCGGAGAGGTGCCTGTTTTATCACGTTGAGGTGCAGGATATGTTTTTTTTTCTTTTGATTGATCAATTTGATGGTCGTAGAATGAAAATCTGGATGGGGGAGAGCCCAACGTGCAGTTTTAGTAACATCGTCGAGTTCATCCATCTGGCCCCTGAGAAAGTAACGGCGGAGCCCAAATATCACGGTTTGTATCATCAGCGGGCCTGTCAACCCCAGCACATATAGAATAAGTGCTCAAGGTTTCAGTTTCTTTCCTTCTTTCCTTCTTTCCTTCCCTCCCTCCCTCCCTCCCTCCCTCCTCTTTCTTTCTCTCTCTCTCTCTCTCTCCCTTTCTTGAGATGGAGTTTCGCTCTTGTTGCCCAGGCTGGAGTGCAATGGCGCGATCTCGGCTTACCGCAACCTCCGCCTCCCGGGTTCAGGCAATTCTCCTGCCTCAGCCTCCCTAGTAGCTGGGATTACAGGCACGCGCCACCATGCCCAGCTAATTTTTGTATTTTTAGTAGAGATGGGGTTTCACCATGTTGACCAGGATGGTCTCGATTTCTTGACCTCATGATCCACCCGCCTCGGCCTCTCAAAGTGCTGGGATGACAGGCGTGAGCCACCGCGCCCGGCCTCAATTTCTTAGGCAGATCTGTATGGGAAATCAAGCTGTTGTGGCCAATGACAGACACATATGTACATGTTTTTAGGAACACACAAAAAAGAACCCAGGCCTGACAGGGTGCGCTGGCTCACGACTGTCATCCCAGCACTTTGGGAGGGATGAGGTCAGGAGTTCGATACCACCCTGGCCAACATGGTGAAACTCCATCTCTACTAAAAATACAAAAATTAGCCGGGCGCAGTAGAGCATACCTATGATCCCAGCTTCTCGGGGGGGCTGAGTCAGGAGAATTGCTTGAAACTGGGAGGTCGAGAGATTTCAGTGAGCCCAGATCACGTCTGAAATCCCAGCACCCTGGGAGGCCGAGGCGGGTGGGTCACCTGAAGCTAGGAGTTCAAGACCAGCCTGGCCAACAAGGCAAAACCCCGTCTCTGCTAAAGAGAATAGTAATAAAAAAAAATAGCGAGGTGTGGGTGCAGGCGCCTGTAATACCAGCTGCTTGGGAGGCTGAGGCAGGAGAATTGCTTGAACCCAGGAGGCAGAGGCTGTAGTGAGCTGAGATTGCGTCACTGCACTCTAGCCTGGGCAGCAAGAGCAAAACTCCATCTCAAAAAATAAATAAAGTAAAAATGCAAAAATTAGCTGGGCACCCTGGTGGGCACCTGTAATCCCAGCCACCTGGGAGGTTGAGGCAGGAGAATTGCTTGAACACAGGAGGTGGAGGTTGCAGTGAGCCGAGATTTGGCCACTGCACTCCAGCCTGGGGGACAGAAAGAGTCTCCATATCCAGAAAAAGAAAAAAAAAAAAAAGAGGTCTCAAGCCAGGAAAAAACATGGAGGACCTGTAAAAGCATGTGACTCTGTGAGAGAAGCCTCTCTGCGCCGTGGCTCACGCCTGTAATCCCAGCACTTTGGGAGGCCAAGGCGGGCGGATCACGAGGTCAAGAGATCGAGACCATCCTGGTCAACATGGTGAAACCCCGTCTCTACCAAAAATACAAAAATTAGCCAGGCATGGCAGTGCGTGCCTGTAGTCTAAGCTACTCGGGAGGCTGAGGCAGGAGAACTGCTTGAACCCAGGAGGTGGAGGTTGCGGTGAGCCGAGATCGTGCCATTGGACTCCAGCCTGGTGTCTGGTGACAGAGGGAGACTCTGTCTAAAAAAAAAAAAAAAAAGAAGAAGAGAATAAAAAAGCCCATCTGTAAAGGCTCCGTGCTGCAGGATTCCAGCTACAGAAGATTCTGGAAAAGGCTAAACTATAGAAACAGTAAAAAGATCAGAGGCTGCTAGGGGTCGGGGAGGGAGGGATGAACAGGCAGAGCACAGAGGATTTTTAGGGCAGTGAAGCTATTTGGTCTGAGAATGCAAGGTGGGTGCGGAACACGTACCTTTGTGAAACCCGTGGAGTGAGACCGGGCACAGTGGCTCACTCTTGTAATCCGGCACTTTGGGAGGCCGAGGCGGGTGGATCACCTGAGGTCAGGAGTTCGAGACCATCCTGGCCAACATGGTGAAACCTCGTCTCTACTAAAAATACAAAAATTAGCTGGGAGTGGTGGCACATGCCTATAATCTCAGCTACTTGGGAGGCTGAGGCAAGAGAATCACTTGAACCTGGGAGTTGGAGGTTCCCGGAGGTTGCGGTGAGCTGAGATCGCACCACTGCCCTCCAGCCTGGGCGTCGGAATGAGACTCTGTCTCGACAAAAAAGTCAAGATCCGTATTAGAACTGTGTGTCTGGTGGTAGAAAGTTCAACATGGTTGGGCCGGGCGTGGTGGCTCACGCCTATAATCCCAGCACTGTGGGAGGCCGAGGCGGGTGGATCACCAGGTCAAGAGATCGAGACCATCCTGGTCCACATGGTGAAACCCCGTCTCTACTAAAAATACAAAAAATTAGCTGGGCATGGTGGCGTGTGCCTGTAATCCCAGCTACTCGGGAGGCTGAGGCAGGAGAATTGCCTGAACCCAGGAGGCGGAGGTTGCGGTGAGCCGAGATCGCGCCATTGCACTCCAGCCTGGGTAACAAGAGCGAGACTCCATCTCAAAAAAAAAAAAAGAGAAGGTTAAACAGGGTTGAGGGTGACCCCGAGAATTCTGGGTTCACTGTGCAGGTGCAGCAGCCTCGGGGTCTGATGGGGGAGCGGGAGGACGGGGAGGTTATCTGGGAACTGCAGGCTGTGTCCACGTGAGAGACTTTCAGACAAAGAAGGAAGGTATTGTCACAGGACAATGTGAGATAATACGACACAGGAAGTTGAAGGAAACAAACAGAAGATGGGTGTAGATCACCCACGTCTGGGAGAAGAACAAGGAAACGGTTGGAAGAGAGAAAACAAATCCTCACGGTGACGCTTTTTTGAAATGCAGATGACGCCGTGCAGACTTGCCCCGAAATGCCTAACAGTTCAAATGAAAGGCTTAAAAAAAAAAAAAAAAAAAATCAAAGGCAAACAGGACGGAAACTCCAAGGGACCTAATCCCGGACGCTCTGTTGGAGAGAGACTCCAGTGCGAGGCCGCTGGCGGGGCTGGGGACCCAGAGAGGGGCTTGGAGGACAGTCTGCAGCTGCCGGGGGGGGGGGGGGGGGGGGAATCTCGGAATCACAGCGTCGCTCAGAGGCCGGGCACCGGCTGGGCCGCCTCGGGGCCCGCGTCTCGTCCCCAGCCCTCTGCCGCCTTCTGATGGCTGTGGCCAGCACCCAGGCTGCATGGCAGACCCACGTCCCGCACTGGATGGGAGCTGCTCGGTTTGTCACTGAGTGTTTTCGACCTCTGCTCTCAACACCGTCATCACGCCGCATATTTTCATTAAGGAATAAAAGGTGGATCGAAAATACCTAAGACAGGGATCGTTAGAAAGTGTGGATTTCTCGGCCGGGCGTGCTGGCTCACACCCGCAATCCCAGCGCTTTGGGAGGCCGAGGCGGGAGGATCACAAGGTCAGGAGTTTGAGACCAGCCTGGCCAATATCGTGAAACCCCATTTCTACTAAAAATAGAAAATCAGCTGGGCATGGTGGCGCGTGCCTGTAATCCCTAAAATCACCTGTAATCCCAGCTACTCTGAGGCTGAGGCAGGAGAATCTCTTGAACCCAGGAGGCAGAGGTTGCAGTGAGCCAAGATTGCGCCACTGCACTCCAGCCTGGGTGACAGAGCCAGTCTCTGTCTCAAAAATAAAATAAAATAAAACCAAACCATCAGATCTCGTGACACTTATTCGCTATCAAGAGAAAGACCAGCTCCCATGACTCCGTCGCCTCCCTTCCACCAGGTCCCTCCCACATCATGTGGGAATTATGGGAGCCACAAGAGGAGCTTTGGCTGCGGACACGGACACGGAGCCAGACCATGTTAATGTTAAGGGTCTTTTTTTTTTTTTGAGACGGAGTTTCGCTCTTGTCACCCAGGCTGGAGTGCAATGGCGCGATCTCGGCTCACCGCAACCTCCGCCTCCTGGGTTCAGGCAATTCTCCTGCCTCAGCCTCCCGAGTAGCTGGGATTACAGGCACGCGCCACCATGCCCAGCTAATTTTTTGTATTTTTAGTAGACACGGGGTTTCACCATGTTGACCAGGATGGTCTCCATCTCTTGACCTCGTGATCCACCTGCCTCTGCCTCCCAAAGTGCTGGGCTTATAGGTGTGAGCCACCGCGCCTGGTCTTTTTTTTGGTTTTTTTTTTGAGACAGAGGTTTGCTCTTGTTGCCCAGGCTGGAGTGCAATGGTGGGATCTCGGCTCACTGCAACCTCCACCACCCAGGTTCAAAGATGATTCTTCTGCCTCAGCCTTCTGAGTTGCCCGCCATCAAGGGCAGCTGATTTTTGTATTTTTAGTAGTGATGGGGTTTCCCCATGTTGGCCAGGCCGGTCTCGAACTTCTGACCTCAGGCGATCACCCGCCGTGGCCTCCCAAAGTGCTGGGATTACATGCGTGAGCCACCGCACCTGGCCTCAATTTTCTTTGAGTCAGGGTCTCCCTCTGTCACCCAGGCTGGCGTGCGGTGGTGCAATCGTAGCTCACTGCAGCCTCGAACTCCCGGACTCAAATGATCCTCATGCCAGCCTCCTGAGTAGCCGGGACCACAGGCGCGTGCACCACCACACCTGGCTAATTTTGTTATTTCTTGCAGACGTGGGAGTCTCACCGTGTTGCCCAGGTTGCTTTCAAACTCCTGAGCTCAAGGGATCTGCCTGCCTCCGCCTGCTGAGTAGCTGGAGATGCATTTCCATCTTCTTCTGTTTTAGCTGGGAGAGGGCAGCTCACGAAATCGCTTGCCCTTCCCGCAATGCTGGGAGACACGCTGACCCCTCCATTTGTCCTTCCCGTGTCTCTCTGGTGGCCTCTCTGTGCCTTCACCTCTCTGGGTCCCCACCGCCCACAGGCCACCCCAGACTGCAGCTGTTTTCTCCCACAGAGGCGCTGGGGGGGGCCCCTTGGTGGTTCCTTTTCATCTCATGCCCTCAGGCCTCCCTCACGCGCCCCTGCCTCCTAATTAAGGTATTCTCCTAAACAAGCCTCGTTGTGTCTCTAAGATGAACTCTGGTGCCAGCTGGTAAAATTAATTTTTTTCTCATTCTCTACAATTCAGGACTGAATGACACACGGTCGCTTATCCGCAGGAGGCTGGCGTCCAGCGGAAGGACAGCGTGGAGACCAGTAATTACGTTACGGTGTGGAAAGTGCCCGCATCAGTGGGGCGGAGCAGTGAGCAGCATCCCCACGGTGCCCCCCCCCGCTGGCCCCACACGGCTACGGTTTCCTTCACACTCGCCCTCGCTGGACCGGACCGGGTGGGACAGTGTCACCCCAAAATATTCGTCTCCCCAGAACCTCAGAATGTGACCTTCCTTGGAAGTACGGTCTCCACAGACATAATTAGTTAAGATGAAGCTGTGGCTGGGCTCCGTGGCTCACGCCTGTAATCCCAACGCTTGTACTTTTCCGAGAGACGGGGTTTCTCCCGCCTCAGCCTCCGGAGTAGCTGGGACTAGAGGCATGTACCACCACGCCCAGCTAATTTTGTATTTCTAGTAGAGATGGGATTTGACCATGTTGGTCAGGCTGGTCTTGAACTCCCAACCTCAGGTGATCCATCCACGTCTGCCTCCCAAAGAGCTGGAATCACAGATGTGGGCCACCTCGCCTGCCTTCTACATTTTTTTTTTTTTTTCGAGATGGAGTTTTGTTCCTATGGCCCAGGCTGGAATGCGATGGCATGATCTCAGCTCACCCCAACCTCTGCCTCCTGGGTTCAAGCAATTCTCCTGCCTCAGCCTCTTGAGTAGCTGGGAGTACAGGCACCTGCCACCATGTCCAGCTAATGGTTTGTATTTTCAGTAGAAAAAGGGTTTCCCCATGTTAGCCAGGCTGGTCTCAAACTCCTGACCTCGGGTGATCTGCCCGCCTGAGCCTCACTGTGCCCGGACGATTTCTGCAATTTTTCTTTTCTTTCATTGAGACAGAGCCTCACTCTGTTGCCCAGGTTGGAGTGCAGTGGTCTGAACTCAGCTCACTGCAACCTCCGCCTCCTGGGTTCTAGCAATTCTCCTGTCTCAGCTTTCTGAATAGGACTACAGGTGCACACCACCATGCCTGGCGGGGTTTCACCATATTGGTGAGGGTTAGGGTCAAGGGTTTCACCATATTGGTGAGGGTTAAGATCAAGGGTTTCACCATATTGGTCAGGATGGCCTCGAACTCCTGACCTCAGGTGGTTCACCCACGTCAGCCTCCCAAAGTGCTAGGGTTACAGATATCAGCCACTGCACCCAGCCACGTTTCTTCCTTTTTTGAGCTGAGGTCTCACTCTGTTGCCAAGGCTGGAGTACAGTGGTGCAATCCTAGCTCACGGTAGCCTTGATCTCCTGGGCTCAAGTGATCCTCCTGCCTCAGCCTCCCAAGTAGCTGGGACTGCTGGTGTGTGCTACCACACCCTGATACATTTTTTTTTTTTTTGTAGAGACAGGGGTCTTGTTACGTTGCCCAGGCTGGTCTCGAACTCTTGTATCACTGAAGGGATCCTCCTGCCTCAGCCTCCATAAGTGCCGGGGTTACTGTTGTGAGCCACTGCGGCCGGACTACAGTTTGTCGGGTAAGACTCTCCAACTTCAGTGAACTGGAATGGTATGAAGCAAACCCTCGAACAAGGGGGGACTACTGTAAGCCAGTTGTCTGTAACTCAGAGAGGGTGTCGGCACCCGAGACGGGCGGACTGCAGGGCTGCGTGACCTGGGCCTTCACGCCCGTCTCGTGCTGTGGCAGGCGTCTCCTTGACGTTTGGACAGGGAGTCTGTTTTCGCTTTTTCCAAATTCCAAGAACCTGTGAAGGAGTCTGTTTTTCTTTTTGTCGTTTTTATTTTATGTATTTTTGTATGTATGTGTGTATTTATTCTGAGACAGAGTCTCGCTCTGATGCCCAGGCAGGAGTGCAGTGGCACCGTCTTGGCTCACTGCAGCCTCCACCTCTTGGATTTAAGCAATTCTCCTGCCTCAGCCTCCCAGGTAGCTGGGATTACAGGCATGCACCACCACGCCCGGCTAATTTTTGAATTTTTAGTAGAGACGGGGTTTTGCCATGTTGGCCAGGCTGGTCTTGAACTCCTGACCTCAGGTCTCCAAAAGTGGGATTGCAGGTTTGAGCCACCGCTCCTGGCCCCGTTTTCTTTTTAGCAGCAGGGTCTCCCTGTACCACCCGTGCTGGAGTGCAGCAATCTCAGCTCACCGTAGCCTTGACCTCCTGGGCTTAAGCCATCCTGGTCTCCCCGGGACACTCCTGACTTCCGGGAAGGCCCCGGGTCTCCAGAAATGCCAGTTTCTCTCTCGTGTTCCGTATTCCCTGTGTTACCCTGGCTTGTGTGAAGGGGGCTGGTAATGGGACATCTGCAAAGCTCCTTGGCGATGGGGCCCGGTCTAAGCTGGCGGTCGGGGCTCCGTGTTGCCAAGGTCAGGGTATGGTCAGGGTTTCCGGTGTGGTCCCCTTATGGCCTAATTAGGGACTTGAATGGGCGGGAACACTGGTCGAGTTTCAGTTCAGAGGCTATTTTGATGTCACGGATCAACCGCTTCAGAAAACATAGATCCAGTTCTGGCCCAGGCTGGCTCACTAGGTGTGCGTCTGCACGTTCTGATCTTTGATTCAGTTCATGGCTCCGTAACAAACTTCATACATTTTTCACCCATCATCAAATTAACGAAGATGAGAGGGATCAGCACGCCTGGCCCTCGAGAGGGGCGTCGGATGGGCCGTGGTAACGTGGGGCCGCCGCAGACGTGAATCGGTACCTTCTGAAAAGCAACGTGGCGGGACCTGCCAGATGCCTTGAGGACGTCCAGACCCCGGGACCCAGCAGTTGCCACCCCCAGGGATTTATCATAACGATATAGTCAGATGTGCACCAGGATTTACATAGGAGAGTTGCTTTCTGCGGCCCTTCTTTTACGTCATGGAAAAATCAGGACTGGCTGAAACGCCCCACAGCAGAGGTCTGGTGAAGGAAAATACGGTAGCGACCGTTGTTTTACGGTGTCTTGAGGCAGGAGAGGGAACCGTGTGTGATAGGTTTCCAGCAGAAGGGAAACGTTTTTAATTAGAGCCGTAACTGGCTCGGGAGCCGGAAGGAGCCTGTGAAAGGGGGTTCTGGCGGCGACCTGCCAGGCCTTTGTGCTGCCTTAGAGGCAGGCCCTTTACTGCAACCGCGAATCTCTCTGGTCTAGGATAGAAATTCATTCTTTAAATAAAATTTGAGTGAGTGCTCGGTGACAGGGGCTGGGCCTACGATGGGGAGGAAAATAGGACTCGGGGAAGCCACAGATGAATGGAGAAGACATTTAATAAAATAAGACCTAACATAGCAGTGGCACAAGAAATTTAAAAGCACTGATTTATTTTAATACAAGAGCCAGAGGCCGGGCGCGGCGGCTCACGCCTGTAATCCCAGCACTTTGGGAGGCCGAGGTGGGTGGATCACGAGGTCAAGAGATCGAGACCATCCTGGTCAACATGGTGAAACCCCGACTCTACTAAAAATACAAAAATTAGCTGGACACGGTGGCGCGTGCCTGTAATCCCAGCTACTCGGGAGGCTGAGGCAGGAGAATTGCCTGAACCCAGGAGGCGGAGGTTGCGGTGAGCCGAGATCGCGCCATTGCACTCTAGCCTGGGTAACAAGAGCAAAACTCCATCTCAATAACATAAATAAATAAATAAAATAAGACCTAACATAGCAGTGGCACAAGAAATTTAAAAGCATTAATTTATTTAATACAAGAGCCAGTAATCCCAGCTACTCTGGAGGCTGAGGTAGGAAAATCACTTGAACCCGGGAGGCGGAGCTTGCAGTGAGCTGAGATGGTGCCACTGACTCCAGCCTGGGTGACAGAGCAAGGCTCTGTCTCAAAAACAAACTCATTTGAGCTCATAGCAGCTTTTTTTTTTTTTTTTTTTTTTTTTTGAGACAGAGTTTCGCTCTTGTTGCCCAGGCTGGAGTGCAATGGCGCAATCTCGGCTCACTGCAACCTCCGCCTCCTGGGTTCAGGCAATTCTCCTGCCTCAGCCTCCCGAGTAGCTGGGATTACAGGCACGTGCCACCACGCCCAGCTAATTTTTTTTTTTTTTTTTTTTTTGTATTTTTAGTAGAGACGGGGTTTCACCATGTTGACCAGGATGGTCTCGATCTCTTGACCTCGTGATCCACCCGCCTCGGCCTCCCTAAGTGTTGGGATTACAGGCGTGAGCCACCGCGCCCGGCCCAGTCTTTTGATCTTTTGAGACAGAGTCTCGATCTGTCACCCAGGCTGGAGAGCAGTGGTGCAACCACCCCTCACCGCAACCTCTGCCTCCCGGGATCAAGTGAATCTCCTGCCTCAGCCTCCCGATTAGCTGGGATTACAGGCGCCATTCACCACTTCCGGCTAATTTTGTGTTTTTAGTAGAGACGAGGTTTCACCATGTTGGCCAGGCCGGTCTCGAACTCCTGACCTCAGCTGATCCGCCCGCCTTGGCCTCCCAAAGTTCTGGGATTACAGACACGAGCCACCATCCCGGCCTTTTTTGTATTATGATTATTTTTTAATAGAGATGGTGGGGGCGGGCGCGGTGGCTCACGCCTGTAATCCAAGCACTTTGGAGGCCAAGGCAGGCAGCTCACCTGAGGTCGGGAGTTCAAGACCTGCCTGACCAACATGGTGAAACCCCGTCTTAAAAAAAAAAAAAAAAAAAAAAAGAGAGAGATGGGGTCTCACTATGTTGCCCAGGCTAGTCTCAAATGCTTGATCCGCCTGCCTCAGCCTCCCTTTGCTTTTTAAACACCCTGTCGGGGTCTCCACCGTGGCTCACGCCTGGTGATCCCAGCACTTTGGGAGGCCGAGGAGGTTGGATCACCTGAGGTCGGGAGTTCGAGACCAGCCTGGCCAACATGGTGAAACCCCCCCATCTCTACTAAAAATACAAGAATTAGCCAGGAGTGGTGGCGTGTGCCTGAAATCCCAGCTACTCGGGAGGCGGAGGCCGCTGTGAGCCGACATCGCGCCATTGCACTCCAGCCTGGGCGACAGGGCAAGACTCCGTCTCAAAAAAAAAAAAAAAACAAAACGAGAACAGCCCAGGGAGAGGCCTGACTCCCGCCATCGGCGGCTGCTTCCGGTGTCCCCTGGGCTCTCCGGACCCTCCCGAGGTGGGGTCTGCTCTAGTTCAGAAGCTCATGACGCCTTTGTGAGGTGCCCGGGCCCCCCGGCTTTGGGATCCGTCGGAATCGGGTCCGTGGCGCACAGCTCCCCGGGCCGGGAGGTGCCTCAGAACCTGGAAGGTTCTCGAAAGTTCTGGAAGGTTCTCTCAGGGGTCGTCGCGAGCGACGACGCCTGTTTTCCCACCGAGATCGGCATCTGGGGTCTGAATGGAGGACAAAAGACCGAGAGCGCGGGAGGACAGCGCCCGTGGAGGCCACACGCGCCCCGCCGCCCGCTCTCCTAAGTAGGGAACTCGCGGGAAAACGGCGGAGGCGGTCGGCGGAAGGGGCGGAGCCGACTCGCGGCCGTGGACGCTGGAGGGGGCGGGGCCTGCGCGCGTTGGGAGAGCGCGCGTTCCATTGGGCGGCGGGAGGCAGGGGGCGGAGCTTGGCGGCGCCGCGAGGCAAGCCCCGCCTCCGACCCCGCGGGGAGCGGCGGCGGCGGCGGCGGCGGCGGAGGCGGTGAGCGCGGGCGGCGCGGACGGCGGCGGTTGGCGGGCGGGTCCTCCGCAGTTGGGCCGCCGCGGCCTCCTTGCCCTGATTCGGGGTCCCGCTCTAGGGAACGCCTGGGGCCGGGTGAGCCCGGCGGGATGCGTTTCTCTCTTCCGCCGGGCGGGGGCTGAGGCGAGGAGGCCGGGCCTGGGGGGAGGGGCGGCGCCGGCCTAGAGACTCCTCGGGGGCGCCTGGTCCCCGCCGCCGCGCGTACCCCCAGTCTGCCCGGACCCCCTTTCCCGTCCCTGCCGCCGTGGGCCCCCCAGTCTTCCCGGACCCCGTTTCCCGTCCCTGCCGCCGTGGGCCCCCCAGTTTGCCTGAACCCCCTTTCCCGTCCCTGCCGCCGTGGGCCCCCCAGTTTGCCTGAACCCCCTTTCCCGTCCCTGCCGCCGTGGGCCCCCCAGTTTGCCTGAACCCCCTTTCCCGTCCCTGCCGCCGTGGGCCCCCCAGTTTGCCTGAACCCCCTTTCCCGTCCCTGCCGCCGTGGGCCCCCCAGTTTGCCTGAACCCCCTTTCCCGTCCCTGCCGCCGTGGGCCCCCCAGTTTGCCTGAACCCCCTTTCCCGTCCCTGCCGCCGTGGGCCCCCCAGTTTGCCTGAACCCCCTTTCCCGTCCCTGCCGCCGTGGGCTCCCCAGTCTGCCCGGACCCCCTTTCCCGTCCCTGCCGCCGTGGGCCCCCCAGTTTGCCCGACCCCCCTTTCCCGTCCCTGCCGCCGTGGGCCCCCCAGTTTGCCTGAACCCCCTTTCCCGTCCCTGCCGCCGTGGGCTCCCCAGTCTGCCCGGACCCCCTTTCCCGTCCCTGCCGCCGTGGGCCCCCCAGTTTGCCCGAACCCCCTTTCCCGTCCCTGCCGCCGTGGGCCCCCCAGTTTGCCTGAACCCCCTTTCCCGTCCCTGCCGCCGTGGGCCCCCCAGTCTGCCCGGACCCCCTTTCCCGTCCCTGCCGCCGTGGGCCCTCCCTTTACCTGAACCCCCTTTCCCGTCCCTGCCGCCGTGGGCCCCCTCCTGCCTTGGACCCCATCTCCGGGGACCCTCTGCCCCATACTTGTTGCCTGGACCCACGTCTCCTTCCCTGGATCCTCCGCCCCAACCGTGAAACCTCCCATCCCTGCCGCCTGGACCTTCCGCTGCAGCTCCTCCGTGAGCCCTCCTCCTTGCTCCCCGAGCCCCCCCACTTCTGCTGTGAACCCCCCTCCTCTGTTGCCCGACTCCCCGTTTCCTGCAGGCCGCAACCCTCCCTCCACCGTGAAATCCCTTTCCCCGCTGTCTGTCTGGACCCCGACTTCTGCTGCTGTGCCCGAAACGCCACCCCCACCTCTGCCGGGAACCCCCTCTTGCCTGCTGCGGGGACGCCCCCCTGCGTTGCTAATTCCACCCCCACCCCCAAACCTCCTTTTCATTTCTGTCAACAGCCAGGCCAGTCCTTCCCCCTGGCGCTCTGGACGGTCTGCAGCTGTCCTGCTCTTTTCAGGGACATGGCAGGCCCGAGAACAGTCGTTTTTCGGCTATTTGTGTGTGTGTGTGTGTGTGCGCGCGCGCGTGTGTGTGTGTGCGCGCGCGCCCGCCGTGGACCGCTGTTAACTCCCCAAATTGGGGAGGGTTGCGCGCTCTGATTGTGTAAAAGGCCTCTCCTGCCGAGTTGGGAGGCGGGCCTGGGCAAAATGATTTATTCAGGAGCGTTTTTTTTTTTTTTTTTTTTTTTGAGACGGAGTTTCGCTCTTGTTACCCAGGCTGGAGTGCAATGGCGCGATCTCGGCTCACCGCAACCTCCGCCTCCTGGGTTCAGGCAATTCTCCTGCCTCAGCCTCCCGAGTAGCTGGGATTACAGGCACGCGCCACCATGCCCAGCTAATTTTTGTATTTTTAGTAGAGACGGGGTTTCACCATGTTGACCAGGATGGTCTCGATCTCTTAACCTCGTGATCCACCCGCCTCGGCCTCCCAAAGTGCTGGGATGACAGGCTTGAGCCACCGCGCCCGGCCAGGAGCCTTTTAAAAATAAGCCAGAGAGAACCTTCGGGAGGAACTGTGCTCTATTTTATTTATGAAAACACGCAGGCGCCCTCCCTGGGTGCCCAGCCCCATCCGTTCTGTTTGTCCGTCTGCTTTTGGCATTGAGCGTCTCAGTGCGGGATTGTGGAATTGAACCTTCTGCTTGAGGCTGAGCCGAGCTCACCTCTGCGGCTGAGGGCTGTGTGTCTGGTTCACATCACAGGCAAACGGCCTGATAAACCTCCGTGCGTGTTCCGTTGCAGGGCACACGCCGTCAGACCTTGGAGTACTTTGTGCCAAAGCATTGCCGCGTGCCACACGCGTGTAAATGATGGCGGATGCCAAGTATGTCCTCTGCCGATGGGAAAAGCGATTATGGCCTGCAAAGGTGACAGCCATTATTCTGCAGTTTGAGGAATTAGAAGTGACTTTCGGGTGACAAGTAAAATCTTGATCAGAAGATACCTAGGAGCTGCTTCAGGGGAGTAATGGAGCCAAGACGGTTGGCACTGATCCTCGTTCCCCCTTTAATGGGGTTTTGGTCTAGTGCTTCCAAGGTTGCGCTTCCAGAAATGTCTTTTTTTCCACACTAAAAAAAAAAAAAAAAAAGAATCAGCTATAAAAAGGCACGTGAGTCTGTAACTCAAGGAAAGATCTGGCGGCGGCTGCGATAGTACACGGCGGTCTGCTCGTGTTCAGGGCTGCTTTCCAGCACTTCGGTAGACAGTGCTCGCGCCAGTGCGAAAGCCCGGGGCCTTTTTGTCTGCCACTGACCTCTTGAGCCTCAGTTTCCCCATCTGTGAAACAGTGGGGATGGGACCAAGCACCTGAAGTCCCGTGGTTGCAGACCTTCAGGATGACCTGCTGCGTTTGTACGAAATGTTGCCACTGTTTCTTACTAGGTCAGCTGTCTTAATAACGAGCATCTCCTTTTTTTTTAAATGTAGGTTTTGGCCCGAACCAAGACTTCAACAAAAAATAGGAGAAAAAAGGAATATTTTCTTGACGTTCAAATCCTCTCCCTAGAGGAAAAGTTAAGTGTCGTGTTTTTTCTCATGCTGCTTTTTCCTGTGCAGATTTCTGATATTTCCATTCCCTACCCCCACGGAGCAGTTGAAGTCCACTCTCAATGGGCTTGTTCACCATTTCCTTGTTGTAATTCATTAATGCTCGTAATAACCTCATGAGAAAGCAACTCGTTGGATTTAATGTCAGTTTGGAAGGTGTACACGAGGCGTCGGTCAGATCCGTGGGGAGACTGGTGCAAACACCGAACACTCGTAAATTATGTTCAGTTTCTGGTTAAAACAGGGTTTGTTTTTTTTGTGACTGTTTCTTAATCACTGCCATGCCGTAAAAATAGGGATATTTCCTTCCTAGAGATCTGTGTGTCTTTTCTTCAGAAACCTCCGTGACAGGCCCATCAGTTTTGAAATATTTGGTTTTTGAGCCTGTCACTCTAAACTAGTCTTCAGCATTCAAAAGGCAAATAGCAGAGCTGCACGTTGTTCCGCTCTGCGAGTGTCTGGCATTGGGGAGGTGTGGGTCGTCTGGAGCGATGGCAGTTCAGATGCCCAGTCCTGTGTGATTGTGGCGGGGGTGCTTCTGCCGGGAGAATTCCCAGTTCTAGAGAGAGCAAGGAGACTGATCCCTCGCAGTCACTGGCTCCCCTGTCGCTCTTCCTTGCGGAGCTCCCCTGCCCCACTCCTTCCTGCCTGCATCTTCAGAGAGGCCTTGGAAGGACGCTTGGTCCCCAGCTCACACTTTCCCTGCGGCTGGGAAGGTAATTGAATACTCCAGTTTAAAAGGAAAGCACATCCTTTTAAACTAAAGCACACCTGCTGGGCTGTAAACAGCTCTTAGTGACATTACCATCTATTCTGAAAATCTAACAAAGGCGTTATTTGTGCAGTTGAAAGTAGGATTTGCCTCATGAAAGTCACAATTTGAATTCACTTTTACTCTTAAATCCAGCCAACCTTTTCTATCTTAAAAGGGAAAAAAATATTCACCAGGGTTCTTGCTGCCTCTAACCTCAGGCAGATGAATTCCTCGTTGGCTGTGACTTTTGGTTTCAGTGGAAGGTTGAGGAGAAAAATGTAATGAATTCTTTTGTTATCTACAGGAAAACATGTTTGAAAATGTCTGGGTGGCGGTGGCTGGGGGTGTCTAATGTCGACTCTGTCTCTGCAGAATTCAGGTGAAAAGCACGGAAGTTGAGATCCTAGAGAAGTCTCACATCGAAGCCATTGCCTGCTCCTTAGGTAAGAGTATTTCTAAGTGGTCACTGGCTTTTAAGAAAATAAGAGATCGTTTGGGAGAACGTGAAGGCTCAGCTTTCTGGGTAAAAATTCAACCCTGTTCATCGTGTTTTTCTTGATACAAAGGCACGTGAATTCCCTGAGCTGCAGGAGAAGGGAGCATGGGTCTGCTTTCTTAAACCTTTCCAGGATGTGCCCTGGAATTACTCCCATTCTTGACGCCCAGAGTGGTCAGTGCTGAGCATCAGGGTTGTCTCGTTACTCCTGGCCTCCGGTATATAGGCCGTGGATGACTTTGCTTCCACGACGGGGCGGTTTTCCTTTCTCCTTTCTCTTCCTGCAGTAAGACGCCCTGTGCTTCTGTCTGCCTGGCCAGTCTGGTCCCAGTCCCAGGTTTGAGAAGCAGTTGCTTGTGTGTGTAAAATTCCAGAGCGGAGCCCAGTGGAGGGAACGGGTGGCCTGGCACTGGAGTTGGTGGCGCCCTGTTGTTTGAGGTGCTGTCATGGTGGGCATGAGGCAGGTTAGAAGTGGAGATGTCAGCTTCCTGTCCGCCCCGGTGCGCTTTCTCCCAGGCCCTCAGTTCGGCACCCACCTCCTTGGCAGGCAGTGGGTGAGAAAGGCTTTGCCTGAGCCCAGCCAGGGTCGTGTCACGCACACACACAAGTGAGGAGCATCATTGAGTGCGTGCTCCCTGGCCACATTTCTGAAACCCACACATGCTGTCTTTCTCCCCAAAGTGGCACTGTTTATCCTATTTGCAAAGAATTGTTTCTCTTGTGAAAACATGGACCAGAATTGTTTCCAGTGAGGTTTATAAAATCAAGTCTGTTTTCCTGTGTCTTCCAAAAAGTGGCTCTTGTTTAAAGCAGGGTCTCTCTCTTTTTTTTTTTTTTTTTTTTTTTAAGATGGGGTTTCACCATGTTGGCCAGCCTGGTCTTGAACTCCTGACCTCAGGTGATCCGCCCACCTCAGCCTCCCAAAGTGCTAGGATTACAGGCGTGAGCCACCGCGCCCGGCCCACCTCAGGGGTTTGATTCTCCTGCCTCAGCCTCCCAAGTAGCTGGGATTATAGGCACCCACTACCACCCCCAGCTAATTTTGTATTTTTAGTAGAGACAGGGTTTCTCCATGTTGGCCAGCCTGGTCTTGAACTCCTGACCTCAGGTGATCCACCCACCTCGGCCTCCCAAAGTGCTGGGATTACAGGCGTGAGCCACAGCGCCCGGCAGCAGGGTCTGTCTTTGTAACTTAGGGCTGACCGTCACCTCAGATGCTGGCGCAGGTTGTGTTGGGGGCCGGTTGTCTGTGGGGGCCTTAAATATTCAGCTGGGAAATACTGTCTGGATGGAGGCATTTTGCCCGCTGAGCTGTGCTGCATCATCATCTCGTTCAGAGAAACAGCGCCGTATCTCCCTGTGGGAATGAATAAATAAACGGCCTGCAGCAGGGAGGTTGGGCTGGAAACCAGAGGCCCGCGATGCTCTCTGCTGGCTTTGAAACGCCCTTGCAAAGAAGTATTGAAAACTTACCAGCCCACAATGAGCCTTTGAAATCTCCTGTTCCTTGCTGCCACCAACCCCGACCAGCGTGGCCAGCAGAGTTCTTTATGTCGTTGGCATTGGTTTTTATGGACCCGGATTGAATTTGAAATTGTAAGGCTGAGAGAGGATTTGCAAAACATTTGAATACATTTTGCTCACGGGATTGTTTTGTTACTCGGAGGAATTTATCTTTTTAGCCAATCAGGTTAAGGTCAGTAAATTTGGTTTTTAAAAACTTGAAGCCTGGAAGCCCGGAATGAATAGCCGTTGTGCGGGAGCCTCACCCCTCTTTGGGAAAACGTAGGTGAGAAATGTGGGTCCTCCCAGTCAGCGACTGAGGCATGCAGCTCGCCTTCAGAGTTAGACAAGTGTGCTTTGAAAGCGATGCCCGAGCGCCGCGCCCGGGCAGGCAGCGTGACCAGCATTGTGTGTGTTCCGTCCTTGCAGCCTCACAGAATGAGGTTCCCGCGGCACCCCTGGAAGAGCTGGCCTACAGACGGTCACTTCGCGTGGCTCTGGATGTTCTGAGCGAGGGGCTTGTGTGGAGTCGGGAAAGCTCCACAGACACGGGTAGAGCTGAGCGGTCTCCGAGAGCGAAGCCCATGGAACCCGCCTCCTCGCCTTGTGATTCCAGCTCCTCATCTCCTCCCGGCGGAGGTGCGCTGGGCAGTTCCGGACCTCACAGAAGGAGGGAATGTGTGCAGCAAAGCCTGTCAAGGACTTGTGAAAAGGACTCCAAGTGCAAAGTGGACCACAAGAAAGGACTCAGGAAAAGTGACAACCCTAGAGGCCCATCGGTCCTCTCAGCTGGAGGTGGTTCCCAGGATGGGAGCCAGTCCAGAATCCACCACAAAAGTTGGACTCTCACAAGTAAGAGGGGAAGAAACTCAGCACAGAAGTCCAGCTTGTGCCCCAGTGGATCTGCCCTTTCAGAGAGTGATGCGGAGGAAGACAGCGGGAGCAAGGCAGGCCTCTGGGCAGCTCCGTCCTCGCCCTCCTGGGTCAGGGGAGACGATCCCTGTGCCAGTGCCGACGGACGCAACCCGGTTCTGCCGTCGGGCAGCCTCACTGTGTCCCCTGCCTGCTTGGGGCCTGGCGGATGCCCTGCGAAGAAGAGGCTGCGCTTGGATGGCAGCCAGAAGCTGCCTGCCGTGCAGCTGGAGCCCAGGGCCGCGGGGGCTGCACCGTCCCCTGGGCCAGAGGTGGGGCCCAGGGAGTCCATGACCCTGCGAAGCACTGCCAGTCTACGCTCGCCTCCCTCCCACGCCCCTGTGGATGAAACCAGACGTCCTCGGCCGGATTCCCAGAAGCAGGAGGAAGGTAAAAGTTTCTCGTGGAGGAGGGCAGCATGGAGGGTGGAGTCCTGCTCCTCCGGCAGCCAGACTGGGGAGCCAGGCACGCACACGTTTTCAAGCTGATCTTAATGACATCGTTACTGAAACAGACTTAGAGCAGAGACCTCCTTCCTCTTTGTCTCTCCCCACTGGGCTATGGTTACTTCACCTTCTCCCAAATATTGGTATTCTTATTTTTGTTCAGAAGCGCAGGGAGTCAAGCGCGTGGGGAGCCCGTGGAGGGGCGGACGGGCCACGATTGTCTGCAGCGGGGCTGAGGCCGAGGCTGCGCCCGCGCCCCGAGGATTAACCGTTTGATTAACCGTTGCAGAAGCAGGAATCTCAGCAGCGGTGCGCTCACTCGGCCTCCTGACCTTCGGAATCACGTGCAGATGCATTTTGTGTGCTTGTCACTGGTGTCCTTTTAACCTTGTAGCACCCCTTAAGTTTGACATGCGAGTTCTGAAATCATCAAATGTCTGGAAATCTGCGTGCTGCTCACTGCGTAGATTTCAGGCTTGATTCCGAACTTCTCTGCTGAGGCCGTCATCTCCTCAGCATGGTGGAGCGGCCGGGAGCTGAGGTTGCCTGTCCGCCATGCTCCGGAAATGACAAAGTGTCTGAAGGCGATGTGGCCGCACCCTGCCCTTCTCCACAGTCAGCTCCTGTCCCAGCCATCCCTGCACACCCACTGAGCGCCTCAGGTGTGAATGGGTAGCCGGCCAGGACAAAAGGGGATTCCCACCCAGAGGGGGCACAGCTTCTGTGACTGAGGCAGCTGCTGCTTACCGCCCGCCTCCCTTCACCTTCGCCTCAGGCCCCCCTCCCTCCCTCCCTCTCCTGTTTTTCTTGGAGATGTAGTTTGCTGGAAGCGGACTATTTGGATCTGGCAGCGTGGACGTGTGTGTGGCACGGAGCCTTTTCCTGATGTGTCGATAGTCATGTGTCATGAAATGTTTTCTTGGGGTAAGTCATCAAGACAATGCAGTGACAATGAAAGTCTAATACCACGTTGTTGGCAGACTGCCAGTCTTCCGAAGAGTCGGTGAGGTCCAGTTCCATGCCCTGTATACTGGAGGAAGACGAGGAAGACGAGGAGCCGCCGAGAATCCTTTTATACCACGGTAAGCAGTGACCAGGGAGCAGGCCTGCATCCTGACGGTGCACTCAAAGGCAGTGGGGGCTGCGGTTCTGAGACCGCGCCGTCCTCCACCAAAGGGCCCCTGCTAGTTCATTTCTCTCCCACTGAACCGAGACCTGGCAGGGACCTTCAGAAGTGCCACGTTGTCAGTCCTCTACCGTAAGCATAGCCTCCACAAAGGGGAGAGGGACTCCTGGGAAGAGACGGCCCAGCCCTCCCTGTTAGAGCGCTACTCCTGCCACTTACCTCAAGCCCTCGTCCTCCTGTCCCTTTGCTGGGAACGAAGGACGCCCGGTGAGCCGAGGGGTGTCGCCATCGCTTGGGTGTGGCCATGGCGCTGTCTCGAGGCCTTCGTTGGTGATGGCATTTGGGGGGCCGTCCAGGGAGGCAGGTTCCTCAGCCCAAGGGAGAGGTGCTCCCGGCCTCTCCTATAAGTAGCTGCTTGCATGGGAGGGAAAGCTTCTACTGGGTGCCGCTGAGCAGTGACATGGAAGGGACTAGAAATGAGAGCCCCAAAGATCTGAACCAGCCGTGAACAGAAAGTCAGCTTTGCAAACAAAGTCAGGAGATCCAGCCCCGCTTCCAACCCGCCATGAAACATTCACCTCAACTAATCTTTTCTTTAACCTTCTAGTTTCAAAATAATTGTAGATTTGCGAAACAATTATGGATAGTACAGGGAGGTCTGCGGGCCCCTCACCTGGGCTCCCCAGCCGGCAACATCCCGGAAGACGTAGGATGCCTCCTGGCCAGGAAGCTGGTGTGGGTGCAGCCGCGGGCACCAGTTCCCCACACAGTGTGCCTGTGGTCTCGTTACATCGTTTCTTTTCTTTGTCCAGGCCATTGGAGTGCTTTTCCGTCATTTAATGAGCTTAACTAGAGTTTCACATGCTCCTTTTTTTTTGACTAATGCTAATGGTCAGACTTTTGAACAGTTTTTCACAAGCTCTTTGGATCCTGTTCCTTTGATGAGGAGTCGCCAGTCACCAAACCCTGCACCACCCATTGGGCACCTGCCTGGGTGCTGCGGGGCACTCACTGGGGCTTCCGGGAAACCATCTCTGCAGGATCCGTTCACACACGGGAGAGCACAGTGCCCTCGGGAAGGCCCTTTCCCACCACGCCACCCCGCAGAGCCCGGTGCTGGCTGGCTGGCTTCTGGCCGCGGCGGGAACGGGGCCTTCCTCCTGTTTGGTCTCGCTGCCTCGTGTTGGCCGCAGGCTCCCTCCCCAGTTGCCTCCCTTCCCCTGCGCTCACGTTGGTTACCTGCGCCCGCGTCCGGCACTTCCCTCCCTCCGCTGTGCCGTTGGCCGCACACAGGCTTTGTGTGTCTAAGGAGAGCCACTTGCTGGTAGTTTTTGTAATACTTGAGTTTTAAAATTGTCAATCATTCCCTCAGTTTTTGGCATTGAAAATATTCATAACTAATTTTCCAGTTTTGATTTAAATAATTGTCTTATTTTCGACCCTAGTTTCTCGGAATCCCCTTTAGAAATTCAGTCCTTGTACTGGGCTCTTTTCCGCGCGCCGTTGCCTCACTTCTGATGCGTGCCACTCTGTTTAAAAGTTGTCCTCCTGCGGAGTGACTTTAGAGTTAGAGAAATCGCACACTCAGGACAGAGCCGCTGCCACCCCTCACGGCACCCTCAGCCCCAGGGTGCCTTTGTCACCGCTGAGGAGCCAGCGCAGCACGCTCGGAACTGCTGAGGTTTTGTTCTGCGGTCTCGTCGTTGGCAGTGAGACTCGGGTCCTGTGGGTTATGAATCTGCCTCCTTGTCAGTGAGTTACGTTCAAGTCAGGTTTAGACACTGTCTTGGTGACTGTTTTCTCGGCCCGTTATACTCTGTGTTTGATGTGGATTTGACTTGTCTCGTCTTTTTTTTTGTTTTTCTTTTTTCTTTCTTTAATTCTAGAACCACGGTCGTTTGAAGTGGGAATGCTAGTCTGGCTTAAGTATCAGAAATACCCCTTCTGGCCAGCAGTGGTAAGAGCAGCTTCCTCTGTCTTCTAAGATGCGGTCGGTCAGATTTCACGAGTTCTTACTCCACTCACACTTGGGTCTTGATGATTTGTCCTGAACAAATGTTTTCATTATTTTGTTTTTCCCGGGAGAAGTTGGTGGGTTTATACCAAAGACTTCTGGAGATGTTTGACCTAAATAAAGGCCAGTGGTGGTGTGTTTATAGGCCACGTTTTTAGCTAAGCCGGCTTAGAAAGACCTGCTCGAAAAAAATATTTGTGGCCGGGTACAGTGGCTCATGCCTGCGATGCCAGCACTTTGGGAGGCCGAGGCGGGTGGATCCCCAAGGTCAGGAGTTCGAGAGCAGCCTGGCCAACATGGTGAAACCCCATCTCTAACTAAAAATACAAAAAATTAGCCTGGCATGGTGGTGGGCGCCTGCAATCCCAGCCACTGGGGAGGCTGAGGCAGGAGAATTGCTTGAACCCGGGAGGTGGAGGTCGCAGTGAGCCAAGATCGCACTGCTGCACTTAGCTGGGCAATAGACCAAGACTGTTTGGGGATGGGGGAAGGAAAAAGATTATTTTCAGTACTGTGAGTTTCACCCAGTGCGACCCCATTAGAGATCATCCATTCGGACGTTGTGGGGTTGGCTGCATGCATCGGGGTAGGTGTGTGAAATCCTGCCCAGGTCCCCAGCGTGGGTAATGTGGGAGCAGGGGCGGATTCTCCACTCCCGTCTCGCAGGCCCGGAAGTTGTGGTCGTTGGTCTGAGTGCTGTCCTGGCCCTCACCTCCGCTTCCTGTTTGACCCTTTATTCTCCTGGGAGGCAATAATGTTGAACTCCAAAAGGCGTTTGCTCTGCAGTGATCCGGAGACGCTTTTGTTGCTCACCCAGGCTCCTTGCTTGTGACTGATTATGGTTTCGGACACGTTAGGGTTCAGTCTGTGCCGTGTTTGCTGGGGAGGTTAAGCACGTTTATGGCTGAGCTGGCCCCGTGTCGCCTGCTGGCTGGCGGTGCTGGAGGCCAGGCCTCGGGGCCCTCTGCCCTTCCTCGGCGCTGGCTTCCCCTCCCGCCCCTTGCTAATCTTCCCTTGTTTTCATCAGTCTCCGGGGTCCCTGCTGGTGAACAGGTCACTGGTGTGGCAGTTCCTGGGGCAGAAGTGCGGAGCGGAAGGGCCGTCTGAGGCGCTCATTGCCAGCGCTTCTTGCTGCCTTCTCGGTGCCCCCAGGAGGCCAGGACGGGGGAGGCTGGGGGGAGGCTGGGGGGAGGCGGCAGTGCCATCCAGTCCCCCACCCCTCCCCGTGTGGCCTGGACTTGTTCCTGAGCCTTTCTGCGCTCACTCCACTCACCCAGAGCTTGGAGGGTAAACCTGCCCTGCTGAGCCACTGGGGGAAGCGGTCGGGACGCTTATTTAGGGGCAGCTGGCAGTGGTCGTGTGGTTCTTTTTATTCAAAAACCCCAACAAAACTGGCTGGTTCCGCTCAGAAGGGAAAGCATTTAAGTGACGTGTGCGGCCGCGTCTCAGCGCCTCCTTTCGGGAGACTTCGCCAGGTTCTCCCCCAGAGCTGGGGCAACACCTGTTAACATGTAGCATGTCAGAAAAAGTGTTTAAGATCCACAATCTCTTTTCTGTTGTGACATTTTATTTTCTTGGATTTGCAAACAGGTCAAAAGCGTCCGGCGGAGAGATAAGAAAGCGAGCGTCCTGTTCATCGAAGGGGACATGAACCCGAAGGGGAAAGGGTAGCGCTGCTCCGGGTGTCTGAGAACGGGCCGGGTGGCAGGCTGGCTGCGCTTAGAGCGGGTGTGGGGACGGAGGGGCAGATGGGAGTCCCCAGCGTGAGTCCAGGCCCGGGCAGGCTGGCAGGGTGTCATTGGAGGTGCGCCCTTCCTGTGACCTCTCACCGGCTGGGAGGTGTGAGTCAAAGGCCGTGTGGGAAGCATGTGGTCAGACACTCCAGTTTTCACAGCGTGATTTGCTGGCTTTGAAAGAGCCCAACCAGATGCTCTCCGAGGCCCTGTTTCCCACCAGCTAGCAAAATGTGGTCCAGGCAGGTGTGCAGGCAGCCTCCCAGCCTCCACCTGAGTTTGCCCCAGGCTACCTAGTCGGCCTTCAGTCATGGGGTGAGAACACACGTAGCTGGACCAGCCGGCTAAACACAGCCTTCAGACCGTCTCAGTACATGCTCCAAATCTGAATGCGCAGAACCAGTGTCTTCTGACTCATGGTACTTCTGATCTGCCCCCGAGGGGTGGGAGGTGTGCCGTGGAGACCAGGCCTGCCTGACCGGCGGGGCCCGGTGAGTGTCGCTGAAGTCACTGGACCCACCGTGATGCGTTCAGGACTCCAGGGGCCTCTTGGCAGCTGGGGAAGCGGTCGCCTCCCTTAAGTGAGCCGGGGCTGGCGGGGCCTGCGGCGGCCTCCGCTGATCTTTATCCGAGACCGGGAAAGACTTGGTTTATTCCAGGAAGTTCACTCGGGTTAACTTTTCTGTCTCTGCTTCAAGGATCACAGTGTCCCTTCGAAGATTAAAGCACTTTGACTGTAAAGACAAGCAGGCGCTTCTGGTAGGTGCTTCCGTGAATGTGTCCTGCGTGTAGCTCTGGAGATCATGGCTGTGGTGCGAGTGTGTGAGTGATGCTGGGAGTAGCAGAGCCAGGCTGTGCTCTGGCTGCTAGAGTTAGATTGTGGGCTCAGTCCCTGCCCTGAATTCCTCACAGCTGCCCTGGGAAGCGGCGGGGACAGTTTGTCCAGGGCCACCGGGCAAGGCTGCAGTGGAGAGCCCTGCACAAGGCCACCGCCGTCCCTGGATGACTGTTCTCAGTCCACCCCAGGGCACATGTGCCTGGCAGCCAGCCCCTTGAGGCTGGAGGCGTCCCTAGTTCAGCATGCCCTCAAGTGCCACGGTGAGCCTGGCCTATGCCCTCAAGAGACACGGTGAGCCTGGCCTATGCCCTCAAGAGACACGGTGAGCCTGGCCTATGCCCTCAAGAGACACGGTGAGCCTGGCCTATGCCCTCAAGAGACACGGTGAGCCTGGCCTATGCCCTCAAGTGCCACGGTGAGCCTGGCGTGTCAACTTGCTGCAGAGTGGCTTCTCGTGCCCTGGACCTGCAGCCAGCTTTCATCACGCGCTGTCCGTGAACTGCACGGGGTTAGTCTAACTCAAAAATGTCTTCCCCTCTGGAAATACCCATTTTGTTGTAGCGGCCTTGAACACCACTGTGTCAACTCAGTGCAATTATTTTTACTTCTCTGGAATCCGGTGTTCAGCCTTCCCTAGATTTTGCCGTTACAGCTGAGCCCAAAATGAACATCTTCCTGTCTGTTCCCACATTCTCTCCTGAGGCCACAGGCAGGGCCGAGGCCATCCAGGCGGGCTCTCTTGACGCTGTGCTGTTTTCTGGTGTCTTGACAGTGTGATGGCGAGCGCATGCTTTGTGCATGGATGGCTTTTTCTTTCCCTGACCTTGTGAGATTGGCAGTGTCTGTCCTGAGCTTTTCCTTGTACGTCAGTAACCTGCGTTTCTCTGAGGCAGTGACCCTCGCTCCCTGCCTGTCACCGATTTGGGTTTGTTCACTGCAGCCCGAAGGTGCTGGGGGAGGGCACAGAGCAAGCAGGAGCCGGGCCTCCCTGACCTGAGCCTGCTCCACGCTCCTTGCACCAGGTGCCGGCTCACACCTGTGATCTCAGCATTTTGGGAGGCCCAGACAGAAAGATCACTTGATCTCGGGAGCTCAGGACAAGCCTGGGCAACATACAGAGACCCTGTCTGCAAAAAATAACAGAAATCAGCAGGCTTGATGCTACTCAGGAGGCTGAGGTGGGAAGACGGTTTGAGCCGAGGAGCTGCCACTGCACTTCAGCCTGGGCGACAGCAAGACCCTTTCTCTAAAAATTAAACATGGCGTCTTTTCCACTCTCAAGGATCTGAATTACTTTCTAAAATGGAGGAAAGTGTGGGGTGAGGAGGACAGTAGGAAGCTCCGGGCCTTAGAAAGACTGCAGTTGATAACACAAAGCCTGTGTTCTGAGAGCACAGGGCGCCGGCTCCCTTCTCCTGAGCGCGCTCACGTCCGCCTGTGCGGTCAGCTGTGCTGGGCCTGAAGCCCACTTTATTCAGGGGTGGTCAGTGTGGCTTCTGAGGAAGGACGCTGGGGAAGCCGCGCGTTAGGAAGGTGCGGGGGCTGCTGGGGCGGCGGAGAGGGGCGTCCGCCGGCCTCGGGATACGATGGTGTGTTCCCAGCGGCCCTCAGCGCTGTTCCCTGGGTCATTGTGTGGTGGTCATGGCTTTGTGGCATCTGTGGGGCTGCTGTGTCCCTTTCTTAGGACCCACCCAGCTGCCAGCTCAGGTGCTGGCCTAGCCTGGCCACAGTCAGCTCCCAACAGAAACGTCTCAGAGCAGCTTATTTCCCAGACTTGACACCCTCTCGTGGCACAGTGGCCGCACAGGAGTGTTTCCGCCGGGTCCCCTGTGACCCGGATTTGAGCAGCTCTGGGCCCAGACCCGTGTCTGGCGTGTGTCCTGCTGACCAGGGTGTTCCTGCGCGAGGCATCTGCCAGCCCCTTTGTCAGGGAGGATCAGAGGTGTGGGCTGGAGGGTTGGGCGGCCTGGACACATGGCTGGTCCCTGGGCCTGCGTGGCTTCTGATCCCAGGTGCTGGGCGCTGCCTTCCACTGACGCCTGCTGCCCGGCTCTCCTTGTAGAACCAAGCCAGGGAGGACTTCGACCAGGCCATCGGCTGGTGCGTCTCCCTCATCACCGACTACAGGGTCCGCTTAGGTACGCGGGGCGCTGCAGGGCTGGAGCTGCCTGGGGGCGAAGCATGTCTCTCTGGCCCTGGGGCGTGCCCTGTGGGTGGGCTGGGGTTCTGGCCTGGCCTGATCATTTCCTAAACAGAGACGCCGGCGCGGCCCCTGGAACGTGCGTCCCGGGACTCCTCTTAGGTCTACACACTGCTGTCTCCCCTGCACTCCCTGCAGGCTGCGGGTCTTTTGCCGGCTCTTTCCTGGAATACTATGCAGCTGATATAAGTAAGTCTACAGGCACATCTTGGGAAGTGTGGTCTGCCTTTTAGCCCTTCAGAAAAGAGCAGTATTTTGTGTCTAAAGCTGTGGAAGGGGACGTTGGGGTCAAGGCACTGTCCACAGCCACCTGGCATTGTGCAACCCTACCAGGTTTTGATGTGACCCCTGAGGCTCCCTGGGACCTGGGGCTGCGGGTGTCCTGGGCGCAGCTTCTCAAGCCTGCCCTGGGGCCCTCATCCCATTGGCCACAGCCACCCTGTCCCGGCTGTGGCTGGTGGCTGTGTACCTCAGATACTGTTCAGAATGTAGGCCAGGTGTAGAGGCTTACACCTGTCATCCCAGCGCTTTGGGAGGCTGACGTAGAAGGATTGCTTGAGGCCAGGAGTTCCAGACTAGCCTGGGCAACACAGAGAGACCCCATGTCTACAAAATGTAATAGTAATATTAAAAATAGAAAAAAGTGATCTGGGCGGCGGCACGCACGCCTGTAGCCTCAGTTGCTTGGGAGGCAGAGGTGGGAGGATGGCCTCGTGACCTGTGTGACTGCCACTGCTCTCCAGCCTGGGGGACAGAGGGAGACCTTGTCTCAGAAAGAAAGAACGTGCCACGAACACCAGAACGTTTGGCCAGTGTGTCATTGTCGGTCCAGCATTTTCCGTTCTGGTCGGCAACAGGGTTTCTATTCCTCCCAGCTGGTGGAGGAGTGGACGTGGCTGAATTGCTTCTTCTTCAGCAGTGCTGCACGGGCAGGCGCTTCGCTCTGCTCTAAGGGCCCAGTGAGGGGACAAAGGCCAGGGGTCCCAGCAGAGCGAGGGTCTTGAGTCTGAACGCGCCTCTCCCGCGCTGACATGGAGCTTGAGCGCTGGGGTCTGCCCCCACCCCTGCCGTGTTGCAGCCTCGCTTCAGCCTTGACCCGCGACACGTGGGAAGGAGCCCGTGCGCTGGTCCCACCACGTGTGCTTCCTTTCCAGGCTATCCTGTCCGAAAATCCATCCAGCAGGACGTCCTAGGGACCAGGTTTCCTCAGCTGAGCAAGGGGAGCCCCGAGGAGCCGGTGCGGGGAAGCCCACTGGGGCAGAGGCAGCCCTGCCGGAAAGTGCTCCCTGACCGCTCTCGGGCTGCCCGGGACCGGGCCAACCAGAAGCTGGTGGAGTACATCGTGAAGGCCAAGGGCGCAGAGAGCCACCTGCGGGCCATCCTGAAGAGCAGGAAGCCATCGCGCTGGCTGCAGACCTTCCTGAGCTCCAGCCAGTACGTGACCTGCGTGGAGACCTACCTGGAGGACGAGGGACAGCTGGACCTGGTGGTGAAGTACCTGCAGGGCGTCTACCAGGAGGTGGGCGCCAAGGTGCTCCGGCGCAGCAACGGCGACCGGATCCGCTTCATTCTGGACGTGCTTCTGCCCGAGGTAAGCCACGGACCGGACCGCCATCGTGTGTGCACAAAGGGGCCTGTGCCAGGACCTTCCAAAACCATGCCCAAGGAGGCTGCCACGGTGCACGCCCCTGCCCCCTGGCTGTGCGGTGGCCGATGGAGTGTGGGGCCTTGTGTGTTTACATCCGGTTGGCGCTGGGAAGTGGGAGGCCTGTGCACACACGGAACTGCATAGACGCTGCTGGGGCCAGGGAGTGCGAAGCTTCCTCCCCACCATGGGCACACAGATGCCCTCCAGCCTCCCTGGGTCAGTCCTGGTGAACGCATGGGGAGTGGGAAATTCAGAATCGCATTTAGTCCCCAGGGAGACCCATCGTAATCTGAAGAATTGAATGTCTATAATACATTTAATACTCTGATAAACCCCGGTAATAAAAATATCAGGAATTGGATTGTCTGATCTTGAACTCCTGGGGATCTGGGGCTTGGTGTGGAGCAAATACACATTGTTTCTGAAGTTTGTATCTGAAGTTTCAGAAGACACTGCTGGGTATATGTGTACATTGTGGGAAACAATACTCAAAACTGTTTAATGTTTTAACTATGGGGATTTTCAAATAGAGAGAAAAAGAAAATAGCACACTGAGCTCTGGACGTTCCCTGACCTGCCTGGGTGAGGTTCTGGATCATTGAAGACCTCAAGCATTGTGAACCCATAAGTACTTCAGTGTGTGTCTCCAAAAAAGGGTGACTGCCCCCTGGGGACACCGGCAGCGTCTGGGCACATTCGTGCTTGTCACAGCCTGGGGTGCTTATGGCAGGGAGCGGGTCGGGCAGGGACCAGGACGGCCCAGCCCAGAGAACAACCCCGCCTCAGTGTCCACAGGGCCGAGCAGGAAGAGCCCTGCTCTCAGCCAGCCGGACTGTGTGGAAGTGGGTTTACCACAATCACAGTTCCAAAAAATAGGACTGACTCAACATCTGCTAGTGTGGACTTGGGATACTCCTTTTTTTTTCTTATACAATAACCTTAAAAGTTTTTAGAAATACACTTGTGGGTTTGGGTTTTACCTTTTATTCTCGGCATTCAGTGACCTGAGCTGCTGTTTCTAGTCCAAAAGGGACTACTGAGTTATTTAAGAGACAGCGTTACGGGCCGGGCACGGGGTCTCACCCTGTCATCCCAGCACTTCGGGAGGCCGAGGCCGAGAGATCGAGACCAGCCTGGCCAACATGGCGAAACCCTGTCTCTACTAAAAACACAAAGATTAGCTGGGCACGGTGGCGCGTGCCTGTAGTCCCAGCTACTAGGGAGGCTGAGGCAGGAGAATTGCCTGAACCCAGGAGGCGGAGGTTGTGGGGAGCCGAGATCGCGCCATTGCACTCCAGCCTGGGTAACAGAGCAAGACCCCGTCTCAAAAATAAACAAAATATCATTAGAAGCAGGTTCGTGGATGAGGTTCGCACCTTCTGAACCATGAGCTAGACCGTGTGTGGAGGCCAGAACCTGGTGGAAGGCTCACTGCAGCCTTCTTAGCCACGTGCTGACCCCCGTGCCCTCTCACAGGCCATCATCTGTGCGATCTCTGCGGTGGACGAGGTGGACTACAAGACGGCCGAGGAGAAGTACATCAAGGGGCCTTCCCTGAGCCACAGGTAGGCCGCTCCCGGCGCTGTCTGCAGCCGCTTGTCTCTGCCTGACAGGTTCTGCTTCCACATCCACGGGCAGCTTGACTCGAGGCTGCTGCAGCCCCTCCCGCGTGTGGTGGCCCAGGTGCTGGGTGGTGAGCTGATCACACACGCTGAACATGCCACGGCCCGGGTCTCCCAGCCAGTCGCTGCGGGCAGCACGGGGCCACAGGCGCGTGCCTCGGCCGTGTTCTTAATCTGTCTTTGCAGGGGGCTGATGTTTGCGTTTGGAACTTCCCTCCCCAGTGTCCGCAGCGCCGTGGTTGTGTGAGAAACAGGCGAGATTAAGCAGCAGCCAGAGGGACGCTGTGATCAAGATGTTTCTCTCACGTCCGTGTGCTCAGCCACCCTTGGGTATTTGGCCCTCAGAGAGCCTAATCCTGTCTCTGGGCACGCGGCCAGGCCTTGCTGGGAGCCAGGCGGGGCCCACGGGGCGGTGACAAGCTGAAGACTCAACTAGAGTCAAGGGTGGAGTGTCCAGCCAGGGCAGCTCGCCAGCCACCACCGTCTCCGGCCACGGTCACAGGGCACTCGTGGCGAAGACACTGAGCTCCCTCACCAGCCCCGTGTCCTCCCTAGGCAGGGCAGGAGGGGCCCCTGGGGAGGTCAGGGAGAAGGAGGCATGGGGCCTCGGTGGCGCTGGCAGGCACCCCTACAAAGCTCTCCATAGGTGGAATTTGGCTTCGTTTAGGGGGTGTTGGCCCAGCTGGCTTACCGAAACAGAAAAGGCCTTTGGAAACAAACAGGTGTTTGCCTGCTGGATCTCATGGTCCCACTGTCAGGCTTGAAGTGAGGTCCAGGACACCCGTACCCGGCCTGAGGGTTTGTCCTCCCTCCATTTCAGAAGCCTCGTAACCACTGCACTCCCGTCCGTGGCGATCCTCCTGCTTGCCACATCTTCCTGATTTTTTTTTTTCAGTCTGGGCTGGCAAAATCAAAATCCATTAGGAGTGAGTTCTTCATGGCTTACGGTTACCATAAAAACCTCAGCGAACTGGGAGAAATGGTGTTTGGTGCCGTGATGAAGTTAATTTGGTTGAATACACAGGCCATGATTTTTTTTTTTTTAATAGAGACGGGGTTTCACCATGTTGACCAGGATGGTCTCGATCTCTTGACCTGGTGATCCACCCAACTCGGCCTCCCAAAGTGCTGGGATTACAGGCGTGAGCCACCACGCCCCAGGCCATGATTTTATCATACCAGGGACGAGGTTGAAATAACAGGACCAGTGAGTGGTAACGCATCTGATTTTTGGCCTCAGTGACACCTCGGGTCACATGTCGGGTGTCCTGGGACCCAGTCCCCAGCCCCTGTGATGCCTGCCTGGCGTTTCCCAGGCCCTCCTGTTGTTCCTTGAGAGTTGCACCGTGAGCCAGTCTACTCCTCCCGAGGCCGTCCTCGGGGCTGCCCTTCTCTGCCGTTTCTGGCTCAGCTGGGGTTCACATCAGAGCCAGCAGCCCCCGTTTCTCTCTCTCCATCCAGGGCAGCCCTGTTCCTGAGGGGGTGCTAGCTAAGTAGTTGTTAATTTAATTTTCCTTTATAGGAGGTCACTTAATAAGGACAGTTTGGCCTCTCATACTCTTTCATAAAAGATGGTTTTTAAGGAGGCACAACGGCTCATGTGTGGAATCCCAGCACTTTAAGAGGCTAAGGTGGGAGGATTGCTTGAGCCCAGGAGTTTGAGGCTCCAGTGAACTGTCATTGCACCACTGCACCCTAGCCTGGGTGACAGAGCAACACCCTGTCTCTAAAAATATTATTTTAAAACATTGTTAAATAGGCGTATCATAAAAGTTACCATCTTAACCTTTTTAAGTGTATGCTTCCGTGGCGGTCAGCATACCTGTACAGCAGGCACGGTGGCCCATCTGTTTCTCATCTCCCCAAACTGAAGCTCCGGCCGCGTCAACTGCCCTCTCTCGTGTACACGTGCGTGCGTGCGTGCACACACACACTGGCCCCGTCAAACAGCTGCCCTCTCATGTACACACGCACATGCATGTGCACACACACACATTGGCCCCGTCAAACAGCTGCCCTCATCTACACACGCGTGCGTGCACACACACCCCAGCCCTGTCAAACAGCTGCCCTCATGTACACACGTGCATGCACACACACACCGGCCCCGTCAACTGCCTTCTCGTGTACACATGCATGCACACACACCCGCCCCGTCAAACAGCTGCCCTCTTGTGTACACACGTGCATGCACACACACCCACCCCGTCAAACAGCTGCTCTCGTACACACGTGCATGCACACACACACACCCGCCCCGTCAAACAGCTGCTCTCGTACACACGTGCATGCACACACACACCCCGGCCCCGTCAAACAGCTGCCCTCTTGTGTACACGTGCATGCACACACACACCCCGGCCCCGTCAAACAGCTGCCCTCATGTACACACGTGCATTCACACACATACACCGGCCCCGTCAAACTGCCCTCATGTACACATGCTCACACACACCGGCCCGTCAACTGCCTTCTCGTGTACACATGCATGCACACACCCCGGCCCCGTCAAACAGCTGCCCTCTTGTGTACACACGTGCATGCACATACACACACCCGCCCCGTCAAACAGCTGCTCTCGTACACACGTGCATGCACACACACACACACCCCGGCCCCGTCAAACAGCTGCCCTCTTGTGTACACGTGCATGCACACACACACACCCCGGCCCCGTCAAACAGCTGCCCTCTTGTGCACACACGCACGCGCACACACACACCAGCCCGGTCAAACAGCTGTCCTCTTATGTACATGCACACGGACACACACATACACTCTGGCCCCGTCAACTGCCCTCTCTCTGTGTGTACACACAGAGAGAGAGAGAGAGAGAGATGGAGTCTTGCTCTGTTGCCCAGGCTGGAGTGCAGTGGCGTGATCTGTACTCACTGCAGCCTCTGTCTCCCGGGTTCAAATGGTTCTCCTGCTTCACCCTCCCCGAGTAGCTGGGACTGCAGGTGTGCACCACCACACCTAGGTAGTTTTTGTATTTGTAGAGATGGGGTCTTGCTGTGTTCAGGCCAGTCTCAAACTCAGGCCTCCAGCGATCCTCCTGCCTCAGCCTCTCAGGATTAAAGGTGTGAGCCACTGCACCTGCCCCTCATAGTTTTTTTTTTCTTTTGAGATGGAGTCTAGCTGTGTCACTAAGGCTGGAGTGCAGTGGCGCTATCTTGGCTCACTTCAGCCTCTGCCTCCTGGGTTCAAGTGAGGCTCCTGCCTCAGCCTCCTGAGTAGCTGGGATTATAGGCGCCCACCACCACGCTTGGCTAAGTTTTGTATTTTTAGTAGAGAAGAGGGTTCAATGTGTTGGGCAGGCTGGTCTCGAACTCTTGACCTTGTGACCCACCCGCCTTGGCCTCCCATAGAGCTAGGATTACAGGCGTGAGCCGTTGCAGCTGGCCTCTTTCTCATCATTAACACAATGATTAACTGCTAACATGAAGTATCTTGTTTTCTGAAGGGAAAAAGAAATATTTGACAACCAGCTCCTTGAACAGCGGAGCCGGCGATGATGGAGCAGCTGGCTGCGCGGCAGCGGGAGCCTGGTGGAGGGAGCGCCTCTGAAGATGGGGGACTCGGGGGGCATGTTCGCTTTTGGAGCCGTCCGTGTTCCTCTGCGAGGCAGGCCTGATTTCCACACTTCCAGAGACTCCGTTTCGTCAACATGGAAAGCTGGTTTTCTCTGGCAACTTTTTTCATTGTATTTTTGGCCTTTTTTTTCCAAGATACAGTTCCGGAAAGGTTTGGAGAGGACGGAAGCGTGTTCACTGTGCGTCAGTGCCTGTGGCTGTGCGGCAGGTCCCCTGACGTGCCTGTCTGTGTCTTGTGTGCTGTATCATATTAAACGGAAGGTTTTCAGCTGTGCCTGCTGTGAACACGGAGCTTCGCAGGCGGGAGTGGTTTCCCCGGGTTTGCCGCTGTGTCTGTCCCCCCCGAGTGGTTTCCCCGGGTTTGCCGCTGTGTCTGTCCCCCCGAGTGGTTTCCCCGGGTTTGCCGCTGTGTCTGTCCCCCCGAGTGGTTTCCCCGGGTTTGCCGCTGTGTCTGTCCCCCCGTGTGGTTTCCCCGGGTTTGCCGCTGTGTCTGTCCCCCCGAGTGGTTTCCCCGGGTTTGCCGCTGTGTCTGTCCCCCCGAGTGGTTTCCCCGGGTTTGCCGCTGTGTCTGTCCCCCCGTGTGGTTTCCCAGGGTTTGCCGCTGTGTCTGTCCCCCCGTGTGGTTTCCCCGGGTTTGCCGCTGTGTCTGTCCCCCCGAGTGGTTTCCCCGGGTTTGCCGCTGTGTCTGTCCCCCCGAGTGGTTTCCCCGGGTTTGCCGCTGTGTCTGTCCCCCCGTGTGGTTTCCCCGGGTTTGCCGCTGTGTCTGTCCCCCCGAGTGGTTTCCCCGGGTTTGCCGCTGTGTCTGTCCCCCCGTGTGGTTTTCCCGGGTTTGCTGCTGTGTCCCCCGTGTGGTTCCCACCTGCACCAGTTTTGAATTTGCTCTGCTGCTCAGCGTGCTCTGTGGCTCTGAGGAATTGGCCTTCGTTAGAGGTGGGAGTGCGGACGGGCCGCTGCTCTGTGTTGTGTCTGCTGTGGCCTTGGGAGGCGGAGCAGGACGCGCACCTTTGCAGGGGCCTCTGCACTCTGCACCGTGGGTGAGTGCACTGCAGCGTGCGGCCGTGTGTCCTGGCTGCGGAGGCTGACCACCTCCACCTCCCCTGCTTGCCTGGCCTCCTCTCGTGAGTGAATTTCCCCGCACTGTGTCGTCACCGTGTGGCCAGTCACCGAGGTCTTGCTCGTCGGCCTGGATGGTTGTGCTGGGATCCCAGGGTGGCCGGCATCAGGATCACCATGGGAGCCCTGCGTGGTCCTGTGACCGGCCATCACAGAAGCACAGCCTTTATAGGGAAGCCCGGCTGGGCTCCCGTCTGGAGAATGGCTTCCAGGATGTGGCTGCCGGGAGGGTTCTGCTCCACAGCACGGAGCCGGGGCTGCGGGTTGTTGCCATGACTTCGTGGGGATGAGCCAGGCTCCGGCAGGGTCAGAGATGCTGAATTTCGTTCTCAGCAGCTGCTCAAGGCTGCACCTGGACCACAGTGCTGGCGAAGCTTCCAGGGTGCCAGGGCCCGCAGCCTGGGGGCTGTTTCTCCCCGATCACTGGACTGCGCCTGACCCTGGCCGGAGGCCTGGCTTTGAGGGGCTGTGGGCCCTCCTCCCTCAGGCCCTGCCCAGCTCCTACAGCCACCAGCGAGCAGATGGGAACACAATTGTCTCTGGGACATGCAAGGCGCTGAGCAAGATGAAGCTGCAAGGACACTCATTTCGGGTCCTCGGAACTCGGGAGGTGGCAGAGACGGCCGCTGCTCGGGAAGCGTGTCCACTGCCTTCGTTTCGCTTGATTCTGCTCCGGTGCACGGGCAGGGAAGCTGGCCCTCACCTGACCGTCGTGCTCCACGTGCCTGCACGCGGGAATTCGTCTTTTCTTAAGCAGAGGGGCAGACCCCTGAGAAGGCAGGGGTCAGGGGCATCGGCCCTGGCCCTGTGCTGGTCACTCTTTCGGGGACACAGGGCAGCCGGTGCCACCGCCCGTAGAGGGGGCTCAGCAGCATTGCATGTACGGGCCTCGGGCCTCCTTGTGGAAAATCCCCACAGCCGCCCTCTGCGGTGGGTCCCCAGGGGAGGAGGCGTCCCACGGTTTTGTGGGAAGCCACGGTTTTGTGGGAAGTGTGGCCTGTGCTGAAGTACTTTGACGCATTTGTTTGCTCACCTTGCCCTGTTGTTTGAGGTGGAATTAAACACCTCCCAGACCTCTGGCTTGTCTTTTCTGAGCCCCAAACGCCCCACAGCGTGGGCTGTACAAGCTTGGAAAATGAGAGCGCGACTCTGCCGTCCCCAGGGACACGGCTTTGACCCCGAGGTGGATTCTCGCCTCACTAACGTTCCCAGGGGTGCTGCCGGGCGCGGTGGCTCACCCTGTAGTTCCCGCACTGGGAGGCCGGGGTGGGCGGATCACCTGAGGTCAAGTTGAGCAGCCCAGCCCACATTGTGAAACCCAGTCTACTAAAAATGCAAAAATTAGCCGGGCGTGGTGGCAAGCGCCAATAAGCCAGCTACTCGGGCGGCCGAGGCAGGAGGACCGCTTGAACCCGGAAGGCGGAGGTTGCGGTGAGCTGAGATGGCATTACTGCACTCCAGCCTGGGTAATAGAGTGAGGCTCCGTCTTAGGAAATTAAACGGCAGCCAAGGGCCTCACTGGGCTTCACACCTGTGGCTCCAGCTACTTGGGAGGATTAGGTAGGAGGGTCACTGACTCCTGACTCCGAGGTCAAGGCTGCAGTGAGCTGAGGTCACCCCACTGCACTCCTGCCTGGGTGACAGCACCTGTCGGGGAAGGGATCCTGGCAGCAAAGCCCCGCCCAGCGGGTGGGACCAGAACGTTGCCATCCCCGCCCACCCATGCGCTCTGCCCTTGCTGTCCTTTGGGATCTGAGGGTGACAAGGCCACTGGGGCAGGCCCTGCCTGGGCGCTTCCCTCAGTAATGAGTCGTGGGCGATCTGGGTTGTCACCCAGGCAGTCGGGTGGGAGTTGGGGGGGCTGACCTGACAAGCTTGGCCGGTGAGGAGCACTCCAGGGCCCTGAGGATGCTAGTGTGGGAGGTCCTTGGTGTCCTGGGGCTCTCAGGACGCCAGAGTCCCAGGAAGGCATGTGCACACGAGGGGAGACGCCAGGACCCCTGCTTGCAGGAGCCTGCACGTTCTGCCCTTCTGACAGCTCGCTGACCCTGTGGCCCCCACCTGGGCCTTTCCCCAGGCACGGAGGACACTGGACCTGGGTCCTGCTGGGTGCTGAGCAGTGTCCCTGGCCTCCCACTCCATGCTAGGAGCTCCCGCCTCGACCGTTGTGATGGCCTCAGATGTCCGCAGGCATGGCCTGGTGCCCCCTGGAAAACTGCTGCACACACCGTGGGGCCCTTCCCCTGACCCCCACCTCTTCCCTCTCTGGCTTGGTCTCAGAGTCATGGGCGCTTCTGCCAGATGCCTCCGTGCCCAGCCCACACTCCCCAACCTGCTTCACGGAGCTGCAGAGACCCCTGCGTCCCTGCCGATGCTTTTCCCGAAGCAGGTCTCGCTTGTCCCTGCCCCGGCAGTGTGAGGGAATCGGGGTCTCCCTTGCCACACCTGTCTGACCACTTCCAGCAAGGCCTTGGTGTCCCCGCGTGGTGCACCTAGTCTATGTGTCAGGAATTCCAAACCACAGAAACCTCACTCTCACGGCCCCAATGCCCGGCGCATTTTCTGTTTTGCTGTTTTTTTTTTTTTTTTTTGAGACACGGTCTGGCCCTGTCGCCCAGGCTGGAGTGCCATGGTGTAAACGTGGCTCACTGCAGCCTTGACTTCCCAGCCTCAAGCAATCCTCCCACCTCAGCCTCCCAGAGAGCTGGGAGCACAGGTGTGCACCACCACACATGGCTAATTTTTCTGCTTTTTATAGAAATGGGGCCTTGCTGGCCGGGCGCGGTGGCTCACGCCTATAATCCCAGCACTTTGGGAGGCCGAGGCAGGTGGATCATGAGGTCAAGAGATCAAGACCATCCTGGCCAACATGGTGAAACCCCGTCTCTACTTTACAAAAATTAGTTCGGCATGGTTGCGCGTGCCTGTAATCTCAGCTACTCAGGAGGCTGAGGCAGAAGAATCGCTTGAACCCGGGAGGCGGAGGCTGAGATTGCACCATTGCATTCCACCCTGTGGGACAGAGGGAGACTCCGTCTCAAAAACACCACCACCCATAGGAAGGCAAGAGCCTGAACAGCAGAGACAAGCGTAGGGGCCCTGTCCTCCCAGCAGCCCCAGGAACATACCCCTCGGCCCCCACCGAGCTCAGCTGCAGTCCCCGTCCCATCCCCCACCACCAGCACTAAAGCAAACAGCCACCAGAATCCCTCCGGCTGGCTTCACTGTTCCTCCCGGGAGGAGTCCAGGGCAGCTAACACGTGACCCAGGCTGGCGCGTGGGACAAGAGGCATTCTGCTGTCCCTGACTCTATAAACCAATCCACAAGCGGCCGGGCACGGGGCTCACGCCTGTAATCCCAGCACTCTGGGAGGCCGAGGCCGGTGGATCACGAGGTCAAGAGATCGAGACCATCCTGGTGAACGTGGTGAAACCCCATCTCTACTAAAATACAAAAATTAGCTGGGCATGGTGGCGCACGCCTGTAATCCCAGCTACTCGGGAGGCTGAGGCAGGAGAATTGCCTGAACCCGGGAGGTGGAGGTTGCGGTGAGCCGAGATGGCGCCATTGCACTCCAGCCTGGGTGACAAGAGCGAGACCCCGTCTCAAAAAAAAAAACAAGAAAAACAATCGGCAAGCAAAACCCCTAATGCGCAATGTCCCACAGTAAGTCCTGCCTCAGAACTCAGGGCGTCAGAAACAGGACCACGTGAGAATCAGCCACAGTCCCAGGAGCCAAGGAAATGCCACGCCTGATGCCACACTCGTGGACTGGGCAATGGGGTTTTCAGACAATCTAAATTATTCTAAAAATATTTATATACATTTAAAATCCAAACCATGGCCAGGCGTGGTGCCTCACATCTGTACTCCCAGCACTTTGGGAGGCTGAGGCAGGCAGGTGGATCACCTGAGATCAGGAGTTCGAGACCAGCTTGGCTAACATGGTGAAACACCTCCTCTACTGAAAATGCAAAAATCGGCCGGGCGCGGTGGCTCACGCCTGTAATCCCAACACTTTGGGAGGCCGAGGCGGGTGGATCATGAGGTCAAGAGATCGAGACCATCCTGGTCAACATAGTGAAACCCCCTCGCTACTAAAAATTCAAAACATTAGCTGGGCACGGTGGCGCGTGCCTGTAATCCCAGCTACTGGGGAG